GCTGGGCGTGGAATTTCCGCTTTGGTCCTCCAATCGAAAGCACGTAGTAAGGCCAGTAACTCTGGTGTTCTTGTTAATTTAACACCCGCTCTCATAGAAATCACAGAACTAAGCTGCAAGATATGTTGACAATGTCGAGCCTTTTAAATGTTTGTTTTGCCGTAAGTAACACAAATAGTTCTGCCACTTGAGGATGCGAGCATCTCTCGCTGTAAAACCCTTTGTTTGTTGCATAATTTTCAAACTTTGCCACTTGTCATCGCATTGTTACGCTGAGTATCGTGAAGGCAAGCGCGGACCGCTTTTGTCCTCTGGTAGAATATCCTCTTGTTTAAACACATTTTAATACAGTCCATAATGCGGAAGTTTGAATACTTCTGGGTTTCTGTGCACCTGTTTGGTGTGAGGATGTATTAACAGGTTTTTGCGCTTTGGGTAGTTCTAGTGCCGGGTTGACCGATATCTTGTATTAGGCATGGAAACCACGCTCTGGCCGGCCAATAGGGCCACCAAAGTGAGTTGTAGGCTCTGGCGCTTGGTTGATTTTCTGTAATACTAGAGGTATTATTGCTGGGGCGGAAACGCCAGACGCATTGAGGCCTTCCCATGAAATGCTTAGAGCCGCCTGTTGCCCATGCTTGTGGGTCTGGCACTGGTGACAATTTAATGTCGGTAGTTGATTGTTGAACCTTGTGGCTTAATAGATCTACTAGCGGGCCCTATTTGCTTGATTATCTGTGCAAATATCTCTGTATTGAGCATCCATTCTGTCGGGCGACGTAGATGTGGCCGTAGAGAGAGCGCCTGCTAGTATATTCCTGGCTCCGGAATGTGGCATGCTTTGACATGTAGATTTAGATCTTGGATTAATTCAACAGTTGAAAGGTTAAATTCAAAAGGTTCGGCGATCTCGCTGAGCCTTGTCTGTTCACATAAAACGCCACTGTCGAAGTTGTCGGTATGTATCATCAGGTGCGATTCTGTAGAATGTTGCTCCAATGTCTTATGCGCTGATTACAGCTTTCATCTCTAATGCGCTTATGTGGAGTTTGCTTTCTAGCTGAGTCCATAACCCTGATGTCGTCCCGTTGGAGAGATGAGCTCCCCAACCTTGGAGCCACGCGCCTACATATAGATGGGTCTTGAATTCTGCTCTGCTAAACAAATCCCTTCGCAGACATTCGATTTCTTTGTCCACCATAATAGATGAGGTCTGAGATGTATCGGTAGACTGAATGGTTGTAGGTCGCCGAGATGTGTATTGACGAAGACCTGTAACGGACGAACTGTAATCTGCCTATGACTGTCAAGTCTTGGGCTGATGTTAGAAGACCTAGTAAGCTCTGCCATTGTCGAAGTGGTAGCGTGACAGTAGAGCTGGTGGAATGATCTGTTGGATCTTGAGCCAACGGTCTTCTGGTACCTACTATACGGTTGAGATTGGTGATAAATCGGATTCCTAGGAATTGCAGATCTTGGCGATGGTACTAGGTCCGACTTGTGTAAGTTTACTAACCATCCCAGCTGTGTTAGTAGCTTTATGATGTAGTTTAACTGTAGTTTGAGATGCTGTGGATCTTGATCTACTTGTATCCCGTCCGTCGAGGAAGAACGCGACTCGCGAGCCCTTGACGATGTAGATAGATAACAATCGGTTTCGCTATCCTCGCGGAATAACCATGGGGCTGATGCTATTCAATGGGAGTACTTTCCACTGGTAATGTAACCCGCCTAGCGTAAAACCAAGGTATTTCCTGGATTCGGGATGTATTGGGATGTGCAGATAAGCATCTTGTAGATCTATACTGCCCATGTAGTCCATGGGGCTTAATCATCTGTCAGAGCTGCGTAGATGTATCATAGTGAACCTGGGTGGTTTGTTTAAGTAAGTCTTGTTGAAGAAGCTCATGTTGTAAATGAGTCTGTATTTCTCCTTGGAGTTCTTCTTGGGTACTAGGAAAACTGGGGAGTAGAAACCTGGTTCGATGTTTCCTTGCTCTATTACTTCTATGGCCTGCTTGGTTAGGAGTAATGTAACCCTCTCTTAACTTTAGTAGTTGTTGTGCCTCTACCTCGAACTTGTGAGGGTTGACTGTTAGTGGAGGCTTGGCCTGTAGTGGGATACTAAACCGCTGCTGAAGAATGTTGGAGACATAGGTGTCTTGAAGTATTCCCCAGTTTTCCCAGTGTAGTTGAAGACGCCCACCCACTTGTGACGGTTGTACTGGAACGGCTGGGGTGGAAGACTCCAGTCGTCCAACCTGTCTTTCAGCTTATAGTAGCGGAACCTCTGGGTGTCCTGCCTCGCCCTGACCCTCCTCTATAGTTGCCATATGGGCTTAATTTAAAAGAATCTCTTCCCCTGAACTGGCAATCTTCCTGTCTCTAGCTCTTTGTAGGCCCGTGAATTTAGATCTCCCTGAGTATCTTTGTGAAGTCTGTCGAATGACACTGGCTAGCGGTCCATCGATTTAATCATCAGGACTCTCTAGAATCCTTGGTGACTTCTTTGGAGACTGTGTCTATTCCTCCCACAAATATGGATGGGGAAGACCACGGGCTGTATATAGTGGAGCTGTAAAGTTCTCACCCCAGTTGCAGGAAGCTAGGAGGCCTTGACGACGAAGCTAAGGTCAGTGCTGCTGAGACAGACGCCAGATGATCTGTTAAAACTGCTGGTCCTTCTTTGCATCAGTAGGGCCGAGTAAATCATTCTGTCATCTTCAGAGGTCGTGGTTCAAATCTGGAGATAAGTGTCTCATTTATTGTTCTAGATCTATTTAGACCGAAGAACATACTCGCCATGGTTTCTATCTGAACCAATTTCCATCATCAATCTTGTAGTACTTGTTCTTGGCATCGGAGATCAGCTTATAGTTCTCATCGATGTCTTCTATGCTTTGAAGAAGGGTTCCATATTATGCGGAGAACTTCTTGGCGCTGAAATTTGGCAGATGTGGCGCCTGAACCTTTGTGGCTTTGTTAAATGCTGTATCTAGGTTCTGAGGTACCCGCTAATCGGGTCGATTGGGGTAGTGTAATAGCATCTGCGCCATCTTCTTTCATCAGATAAGTCTGCTCTTTATTGCCACTCTTTGAAGGTGATGAGAGATCTAGATTATTGACCATCCAATATCTTATCTCTGCATCTGAGAAAATAATTCCTCCATCATCTTCCATTCCATCATCATAGATAAGAGGTTGTTGCTCTTCTGATGTAGGGCTGTGTGGCTCTATCTCTATATCGCTTGACGCTTGTGGAGATCTAGTTGTAGGCTTATGTGCAGACCTGTGAGGTGATCGACGCGGGTGATCGGGCGCAGGTGATCGCCTTGGTGATCTATATCGATAGGTTGACCTTCTTGGCGATCTATGAGGGGACTGATAGCTTCGCCAAGCTCTTGTGTAGTCCCTTGCTGATCTTTTAGATGAAGACGATCTGGGTTCAGGTGTCCTTCGCGAACGCTTCGCTAAGCTTCAGCGTCCGGGTCCTGGGGAACGATGATATGACCTTCGCCAAGGCTTTCATGCGGTGGTCTGGTGATCAGATTCCATATCTGAGTATGACAAGAAGGTGATGATTCTTCCCGCCGCGCAAGGCCTTCGCTAAGGCTGTACATCTGGGTCCTTCGCCGAGGTGGTCTGTGACTTCCTTTCAAGGCTGCATTGTCGCGGGCTGCTACGCTGACAGATGGTGCCCCTGGGGTGCTGTTCACGCTTGGAGCCTTCGCAAGGCTCGACCCTGGGATGGCTGCTTCTCCAGTCTATAGTGGCCTTCCATCATAATCATGATCTGTTTCATAAGATCGCTTTGGGATGATCTGGCGACGAGTAGATGGTGCCCCTTCTGCTGTGTTAGCGGTGGGGCCCTCAGCCATCTCGCCTGACATCAGTGTAGAGGCATCAGGCTGCTGCTTGTTGATCTCTGCTGACGCCACTGTCGCTGTCACTGGTCGCTTCTTCTTGTATGTGATGTCGGGTATGATGATCGGCTGGTCATCGAGAGGCCCAATTCTGCTGCTGGAACGATCTCGCCTGAGAAAGTTCTCGATGACTTCAGATTTCCCTTTGGAGGAAGACGCTGCCCTGGGGTACGGGTCTCGCGCTGAGAAGACGCTGAGGCCCTCTTGACTTTGTTCATGGATGACTGGATGTCTGGAGAGGCCGGTCGCTTCTTAGAGGTGACGGACTGCATCCCACGCCCCTCTTCCGATGGGGTCTCAAGCAGAACACCAGACGGGAGGGGATCACTCGACAGCAGTTGACTGGATGGGCAATCCGACGATCGGGCCATGTCTACACCTAGTTTGCGCGGACTCTATCTGCAACACGCCTCAAGACGCAAAGATGGTATTTATCAAAGGCAGAATTGGTTAAATTTATGCAGTAACTGCAAACGGAGTCAAACGCACAAGGCGAAAGTACAACTAGGGCATACCACATGGATCCAAGAGCGAAAAACGTAATCTACAAATAGTACAGTTTTTCATCAATGTAAAACTAGCTGAACAATCACTTAACTCACGGAATAAACAGTAGAAATAATGATTAATTATTAACGCAAATAACTGAAGGATACTAGCTATACCTTTATAGTAAACTATAAAAGGTAACTAACTAAGAAAACCAAAGGATATAGTGTGTAAGGAGACAGGCGCCTCACATCCTGCTCACTGGGCTAAGAAGGAGAGAGTGAAGCATGAGGCCAGAGGGTGGCGACACCTGTTCCCGCCACGGCAGGGGAGGTAACTCGTGGGTGAGTACCAATTAGTGATTTTACATTGAAGGGAGCTTCAATTAAGGAGATACAAGTGTTCCACTATGTTCGCAAGAGGAAGGGGACAAGCAAAAGAGCATGAGTCAGGATAAGGTCGTGCTTGCCCCTCCCTCCCTTCACTTGAAAAAAATGCCTGATCAGCTCATGATCGGCTCATTTTAGAACTGGGGTTTGAAGCCCAGACAGCAGAGTCCCTGCAAGTACTGACATGAATGTGACGTACCTCCACAGTTGTAATGAGTGAATAATCCAGCAGGAACCAACACAGAATATGCAGGAGGAAGACCACGAGGGCACTGGCATCAAACAGATACTGGATGGCTAAAGACGCACAGACTCCAATAATCATACACTCGGACATTGGTTCCAGTAAGACCAGCGTTGGTAACATGGACATCCGCAGGTGGCACCACCTAATGAGACACAAGGTAGCATGCTTTTATGTCGGAGGACCAATTTTTTACAACCCTAATAAAATATAACTATTCTCACCACCATTCCTTGTGACACAGGCAGGATATTTGTTAGTAAATGTTTCTAGTTCTCTGTTTAAAGTTTTGACTAACGTTTTCTAAGTTACCTGCTGGGAATGGCGAACTGTAGGAATTCATTTGGTACTTCGTAATAGTAACACCCGCCGTGATGTTGCTGGAATATTGCTAAAAGCGGCGTAAAACCAAACTCAGTCAGTCAGTCGTAATAGGAACTCTTTATCTTGAATATTTGAGTTACTTACGATGTACAAAAAATCCTGATATTTTGCGAATGCAAATCGATGGAAGGGAGATAACTCTAAATTTGATTTTCTTATCTGCTAGATTCTATGTCATCTGAAAATCTAGCATTGGCTAATTGTGTAACTCTGGCACTCCTTATAATGATCCGACACCTGTGCCTCAAACAGTTAAAAATTAACATTGAAGTGTTCGGTAAGATAATTCAGGCTAGGGAAACATAAACAAACACAGAGGGCACATCAACCCATGGGTCCTTCTTGACCAGTGAACAACTTATATTGACAAATCATAACAAAACTTTTACAACATCGTGTGTCATTATTGTCCGTTATTTCGAGCGCCCTTGCATAACAATCTTCCAAGTAAATGGCAACACTTTAGCTGAAATGTTCCAGCCCCACCACTGCTATCTCTGAACAGGACACTAGAGGGGACAGGAGACATACCTGATAAGGCGTCGATGAAACTCTCCCACTGAGTATGTTCCCAAGTTTTGTAGTGCTGGTTCTGGGCACAGAACACATTTATACCCCCTGGAACATGAATAATAACACATAAAAACATGCGATATGAGAAATAACATCATGACTGGGACGTTCGACTTAACATCGCAGTATTCAAACCAAATGATTTGACCAATAATGTATTCCAAAATGTTAAGTACTTTCACATTTAAATAATGAGGGATTGGAATTTATGAATATGCACATCTCGCTTTGATAGATAAGACTCAGATTAAAACAGTTCACTTTAAAATATTCAAGAATATTCTATGAAAGTGATCACGAATTATGACTTGAATTCATGAAGCAAATGGTTGATTCACCAAATATGCCAGTGAATCGCAACATCCCTACAGGAAAGCATTATGCACGGTTTCGGAGTCATGTTCAGTGTACAACATACCATGTTGCTGAGTGGAAACCTACTTATTTTAACATATTTTAAGTGAGTGCTGGAAAATGAGTGAGTGAGTTGGGGTTTTACACCAATTTCAGCAATATTCCAGCAATATCATGGTGGGGGACAATAGAAATGGACTTCACACATCGTGCCTATGTGGGGAATTTCTGGAAACTGAGTCTGAATGAAAACGCCCATTATACCTTTGTCTGAAAGCTTCAGCAAAAAAGAAATCTTCTGCCAGATATTTCCCAAACGATGCCATCCCTCCGGCTTCATCAAGAATATCTTTCCTCATCAGACAGGACATTCCTGTTGAGCAGTTGATGCCAACACAATTTGCTGCCAAACAGTTGCGGGCTTGCATAGTACCAAAATACACCTGCAAACATAGGCAAAAATATTAGCAATTGTCACTCTGTACTTGCTATGAATTCAGTTCAGTTATATGCTGCTTTTAGCAATATTCCAGCAATATCACGGCAGGGGACACCAGAAATGGGCTTCACACGTGGTACCCATTTGGGTCAGTAATTACACACAAACTCAATTTTATTACTGTTAAGGTCCTCAGAATATTAATGTTCGACGGTAGAAAAAGTCATGCATAACATGTATAAGCTTATTTTAAGTTTGAAAATATTTACAAAACAAAAGATGGCTACATTAATGTGTACATACCTTCTCATAGACAGCAGCAAAGCCCTCTCTATCTGCGACATAGGGCATCTGAAGCACCATCCCCACCTTGCTCGTCATACACGCCATCATGCCCGTCAGGGTTGACTCACGCACTGTAGATAAACATATACCACTAATTTCTCCTCTCTATAACATATACTGAATGTTGCAAGTAGCCACCTATAGACACATGATAGATATGACGGTTTCTTTCCGTGGCATTTCAGAAGTTAGGATGCACAGTATTGATATCGCTTGTATTCTCTGTTACTGTCAGTATATATACATCCTCTCCTCTTCATGTTACATTCCCCGGGAGAGCAGAAGGTCGCAGGTTCGATCCCCGACCGCGTCATACCAAAAGACGTTAAAATGTGGTACTTGTTGGTCCCTGCCTGGTGCTTGGCATTAATGGGTACAACAAGGACTGGTCGGCTCGGAGTCAGAATAATGTGTCTGAGTGGGGTATTCATGCTTCACTGCGGCATGGTATCTCAGTGGGCTAGCACTATAAAACCAGCTTCAGTCTGGGCTAGTACAAGCAGCCGCACATACACATGCACATGCATGCACGTCGTCATATGAGCAAAATATTCTCAAGCACAACGTTAAACCCAATTTCACCTCACCTCATGTTACATTCCAGTACAAAAATCTGTATCGAAAATTCACACCCACAAAAGAATAGAAGTTGTTGTCCATAAAGTTAGTTCAATATTAGACACGACAGATTGTACACATCCACTAACAGTACAAGTACATCACACAATTGTGCCATCTTATTCCAAAACAATGCAGAGGATTTCTCATTCATGATTCATGTAAATCCTACTTCTCTATCGTTAAAATGATCTTAGATTACTGACAAAAGATAAAGAGACTTACTTTGGATTCCGCTGTCTGATATCAACACGACATCATACTTTGCTGCTTCATAAGCCTTGACCATGTTGTTCACCTTGCCATTGGCGCCAACAGACTTGATTCCTGCAAATACCGGTACACATTGGATATCACTGTCATGAACTTGGAATGAAGGTTAAGAGAGGGTTAAGTATGAGTGAGTGAGTGAGTGAGTGAGTGAGTGAGTGAGTAAGTTGAAATGGGATTAACGCCGTACTTAAGATTATTTTGTTCATATGACGACGTAAATGCATGTGTGCATGTGCGGCTGCTTGTACTAGCCCAGACTTAGGATGGTTTTATAGGGCTAGCTCACTGAGATACCATGCCGCAGATAAGCATTAATACCCCACTCTGACAAATTATACTGACTCTGAGCCGACCAGTCGTTGTACTTGTTAATGCCTAGCGTCATTGTTTAATGACTACTGTCATATTGCTGCTTAGGAATGCTTTATGGATGATCAACTTCTTTACTGTACAATAACAACGTTTTGGTATAGATACTTATATGCTTGAAAACGGTATAAGTAATTATACCGAAACACTGCTATTATACAATAAATAAGTTGATAAAATTCATAAGACTTTTCATTCCTTTCTTTGTATGAGCTCCAGTATAAAAATGGGAGTCCATGAAAAATGTAAAAGAAACCCCAAGACAGTGCCTAATGAAAAGTGACACAAGTTTGCATATGCTGAAAACTGAAAAGATAAGAGTTTCCCAACCAGAGGTACAGATAAGCTGCGTATCTGCGTAAATTACGCAAACATTTATGTGAAAACCCAATTCCTATTAAGTCTATTGCGTACAAGTACGCTTGAAGTTTTGTAAATACTCAATAAATGTGATCTTACATGCGTACACACAAAACTGTCCAATCGTAGCTTGCGTACCGGTGGATAGATAAAATAACTGACGTATATTGAGAGGTTCTATATTAGGACATGAACTGACAACCTGCAGTCTTTCTTATCGTTTCTCATATAACAGATCAAAGGTAAATCACAAACACTAACATTTAAACTATATTATATTTTTAAAATTAATGGAAATTGGCACAATACCCAAATGAGTTTGATTGAGGTGAGTACAATTTATTTGGTTACTCAAAGGAAAATTAGGATACCCAATTGAGATGAACACAAGGGAGTACATAACTCAATGACCCAAAACGTTATCTGTAGCTCTGTTCCCAACTGAAACAAATCAGCGTTTCAAAAAGAGGACCATTAAACATGTTTTTGCCTTTTTAAAATGACTGCACACAGAAATTATGAAATGGCAGCATACATGCCATATGTGCACAAAACATTGCTGTATGTAAGTGTGCTGGTCATCTGGTACCCATGCTACTGCATTGTCGGACCAAATCCAGACATAATCCCCACCTCCCAAAAATGGTAGAATTTGTTACAGCCAACCAGTGACCTAATGGAGATGGTTTGTATTTTCTCTTGCATTCTTCCCTTTTATGTGTATAGTGTATAGGATTTTACAGCCAGTATTTAATAGTACCAAATACTCTGAATGTGGAAGTTGTCCATTCCATCCTGATGTCAAATCATGATGAATGCCAGAGGAGTGAGTGAGTGAGTGAGTGAGTGAGTGAGTGAGTGAGTGAGTGAGTGAGTGAGTGAGTGAGTGAGTGAGTGAGTGAGTGAGTGAGTGAGTGAGTGAGTGAGTGAGTGAGTGAGTGAGTGAGTGAGTGAGTGAGTGAGTGAGTGAGTGAGTGAGTGAGTGAGTGAGTGAGTGAGTGAGTGAGTGAGTGAGTGAGTGAGTGAGTGAGTGAGTGAGTGGGTTTTGACGCTTTTAGCAATATTCCAGCAATATCCAGGGGTGGAAATAAGCCATTGCCCGACGTCCGAGTCCAGTGTTTTATTCTGTCAGGCAAGCAAATTTGTATATCATGCTGTACCGGTGTCCAATTGACTTTCAAATGTTAATAATGTTGTTTATTTTAAAAATCAACAAGAAAACAGCCGGTATAGTGGAAAACTTATCAGGGCAAGTGATTTTACATGTGCCACTGTACCGGAGTATACTAGCAATTTTAAAGTTATTTCCACCCCTGATATCACGGCGGGGGACTCCAGAAATGGGCTTCATACATTGATGAATGCCAGATCTAACAGTTAGTAGAAAATATTACAAGTAACAACACAATAGGCATTCTACAAAATTCAGCCTGTATCTATTGTCGTGAATGTGCACTGGTTGCGTCATGTACATGCAGATCTTTTTGCTAACCACAAAGTACTACAAAGTCAATTTCACTTCCTGTATTAAAAAAACAGAGGTTGACCTTTGTGTACTTCCTCATCTTTAATGTTGTTGTTGACTCAAACTCAACCCACACTGAGATACCCAATACTTCCTGGCTACGCAGGTCCTTCCTCTAGGTGGGCTTATTCTATGTTGAAATCCCTCTTGCTTTCACTAACACTGAAGTTAGGTTCAACAGTTACATGCCAATATATACTGTAGAGAGTTGAGATACACCTATACAGTGTTCACGAATGGTGTTTCAAAGTCACAGGATATTGGGTCCTGTAAGTTTCAGATGTCTGTCTGACCCATTGAAAATGTACAGGACCCATGGAATTAAATTAAACGCACATTTCAGATTTAATATTTCTTATAATTGACATTGAAATTATTAACAAACATAAGATTTATAAACAGCAAACAAGTGTCACATGTCACATCTAACAACTTCAGTCAGAGTCATTGTGAAATATACAGTCAGACACTGGGGCCGGCAGGTTGTAGACTTCTGTCTGACCGTTGGCGAATCTACCGGATTTGTCAGAGGGTCAGACGCTATTCGTGAACACTGCTATATTGACTCTGAAGTTAAGTTCAACAGAATTCAGTCCTGTACTGTTACAACAGCCAACGCATGTACAAGGTATACCTCATTCTTTCATATTACTTCAGTCAAACAGACATACTATCACAGATAAACTGTACTAATATTACAGAATCAGGGTTATTAAATGTTTTAAAGCAGTCTAAATGTAATGTGTTATTGTCAATCTTTATGATCATTAGGTATGTTAACTATCTTGTCCTTAGGCAATCTGACAACTTGCACAGTGTCTTCTACATGGTACCGTCCATGCTATAATAACGTAATTTGAGAGAGTCACACTCTCCTACATGGTACCGTCTACACTGTAATAACATAATGAGAGAAAGTCACACTCTCCTACATGGTACCGTCTACACTGTAATAACATCAATGTGAGAGTCACACTCTCCTACATGGTACCGTCTACACTGTAATAACATAACATTTGAGAGAGTCACACTCTCCTACATGGTACCGTCTACACTGTAATAACATAATGAGAGAGTCACACTCTCCTACATGGTACCGTCTACACTGTAATAACATAATGAGAGAGTCACACTCTCCTACATGGTACCGTCTACACTGTAATAACATAATGAGAGAGTCACACTCTCACTGTAATACATGGTACCGCTTCTACACTGTAATAACATAATGAGAGAAAGTCACACTCTCCTACATGGTACCGTCTACACTGTAATAACGTATTTGAGAGAGTCACACTCTCCTACATGGTACCGTCTACACTGTAATAACATAATTTGAGAGAGTCACACTCTCCTACATGGTACCGTCTACACTGTAATAACATAATGAGAGAGTCACACTCTCCTACATGGTACCGTCTACACTGTAATAACGTAATTTGAGCGAGTCAAACTTTCCTACATACGGTACCGCCTACACCGTAATAACGCATTCTTTGAGAGAGTCACACTCTCCACTTCACATGGTACCGCCTACACTGTAATAACGTAATTTGAGCGAGTCAAACTTTCCTACATGGTACCGTCTACACTGTAATAACGTATTTGAGAGAGTCACACTCTCCTACATGGTACCGTCTACACTGTAATAACATAATTTGAACGAATCACACTCTCCTACATGGTACCGTCTACACTGTAATAATGTAATTTGAGAGAGTCAAACTCTCCTACATGGTACCGTCTACACTGTAATAACGTAATTTGAGAGAGTCACTCTCCTACATGGTACCGTCTACACTGTAATAACATCATGTGAGAGTCACACTCTCCTACATGGTACCGTCTACACTGTAATAACATAATTTGAGTGAGTCACACTCTCCTACATGGTACCGTCTTCACTGTAATAACATAATTTGAGTGAGTCACACTCTCCTACATGGTACCGTCTTCACTGTAATAACATAATTTGAGTGAGTCACATTTTCCTACATGGTACCGTCTATACTGCAAGAACATAATGTGAGAGTCACACTCTCCTACATGGTACTGTCTACACTGTAATAACATAATGTGAGAGTCACATTTTCCTACATGGTACCGTCTTTACTGTAATAAAGTTGACTTTTGCTAGGTACGCCAAACACAATGAGTTAATATTACTTTAAAAAGAATAAGCAGGAGTGAACAAAGTTGCTGTGAAAAAACGTTTTTGGTAATATTTTCAAAGCAATTGTACCAATAGACATTTTACCATTTGAACCGGCAGCTTACTAATTGCTATTGGTTTCTAAATCAAATTTCAGCCATAGGTACTCAATGACAGATACAAAAAACATGTTTATTTTCAAAATAGTTCAGTGAACGTGTGTACCAGTTTGAGTTGGGTAAGTTGACCGACCCAGCACCAGGGGCATGCTGATACGAACTCAAGGGGTTGCACCCTGGTTCTAGAAATTTATCAGTAGTTGAACAGACGTCTGATGTCATGTATAAAGAAAACTTAAGGATTAAAGATCTGGTGTGGTAAAAAAGCTTCAAGCATGTCAAGTGTGATCAAAGGTCGTAGTTTCTGTGGACAAGTGGGAGTTACTCAGTTATCAATTTGAAACTTTTTGGCATGCTCTTTGTGAATGTAGATTAAATCTCGACTGCACTTTTCAATGATAGCTTACACTGGTACACATGTTATATGGCTTATTGAAGCTCTGGTGGAAACATTTCAAGCCAAGGGTCCGCAACATTCAAGCAATATTATGTTGGCCTGGTAACTGACAACAAAAGGCCAAGTCACAGA